CTAGGCCAGCATACTGCAGCACTAGGACAATAGTCCTTTAATTAGACACATCAATTAATAAGCAAATAAAAAAACAAGGTGGGAATTTTCTCAGCACTCAGGAGGGGCATAAGAGTGGATCTCTTCAATAGTAGATGATTCCCTATTCATAAGGTAGTCTGGAGATGCCTTGGACCACATTGGCACAGTTATAATTCTGTAGCAGGACTCCTGAAGGTGCAGTATTGCTTTAATAAGCAAAATCGCCTCACTGAGGTGTCACAGAGGTGTTCTTGTTGCCTGGTTTTGACATGCAAGAAGATCAGACCCTAATGTGCACCATACAGTGTGTCTTCCTGTCCCCGTCTTGTGCCTGGAGGGGTTTTTAGTTCACCAGTGACTCTACAAGCTGGATCAGAGGCTTCTGCTTCAGCCGGCAGCGAGAGAGCTGGCTTCCCCGCACGACAGCTCATCCTGTGCCTGACCCTAAAGGAGCTTGCAGCTCTGAAGCCTGTTGGGTCAGATCTTCAGAGCAGCCGATTCTAGCAATGTGTGGCTTCAGAAACTGATTATCCCAATGTTTCCCAATGCAGTCCTCAGGGACCTGTAGACAGTCCACGAATAGGTAGACTGTCCGGCGGGGAGCTGGGAGGGAGCAAATACAGGGCCGTCATTGGCTCCCCAAAAAGCTGCCTTATAAGGTAAAGGGCTACCATGAAGCTCTACACAGGTAATGAGACAGGGATTTACACAGATGCAATCACACAATGAAAAGACACCAATTCATCTAGCCTAATGTTTCCCAAGCTGGTCCTTGGGGACCCACAGACAGGGTCCCGGTAGGGAGCAAAAACATGGACCCGGATTGGGAAACACTGATCTAGCCACATATTTTTGAATAGTGGACAGAAACCTAGATGAACACAAGGAGATCATGCAAGCTATTCTGGGCAGGATATGAACCTACAAACCTCTGGCCCTATGCCAATCACTTATTAGGTTCTTACTGAAATGCACGATTGTAGGTATGTTATTTCCCACAATGCCGCGCTACCTTGCCCTATTAGCGTCCTGTTCACTGAACTGTGGGCATCATGGGGAGCCTGATTGTGACACATAGTCACTGACATAATGCAGACTGCCTGTAGGGTAACCCGCCATCATTCTATGCATGTCCCAGCTTTCACTGTGTTCATTTTTGGATTTCCACTCATAAATACTCAGTTTATGGATGCCGGTTTTTGCTAACAACCACTGTTTATCTCCACTGCAGCCTGCATTTCTGCATCAGTGCGCTTCATAATAGAAGGTGGAGCTTTGTTTCCTATAAGCCCAGTTGCACCTGTAAAGATTGCAGCTTGCTGTCTGTATTATCAGCCGCATGCTTAAGCGCGTCTCCTTCGGATTGACTCACTCCCTCTTTCCTAATCTTTGGCCATGGAAGCCTTTCCTGTCTTACCAATTTGCCACAAAAGGGACACAAACCTTTAAATAAATAAGAAGGAGTGGAATGTGGGTATATATGGAAGACCTTTGTGTTCAAAACAAACCAAATATCCATCCATCCATCCATCCATCCATCCATCCATCCATCCATCCATCCATCCAGTTTTCCATTTATCCAGTGCAGGGTTATGGTAAGACTGGAATCGATAACTGGAAACACAGGGTACTGGGCAGGACATACCCTCAACGGCATATTAAATTAAATTCAGTTGTACGTGCCAATATGGAAATGTTTTGATAAAGGGTCACGCATACAAGTGATCGTCTTCTGATGTCTGAATCTCTTGAGAGGACGTCTTTAAGGAGGCCACGTTGTGGTTACGAGGGGGAGTGACACCGGTCGTATGTACCGAGCTGTCGACCAGCTAATGGAGGAGAAAATCCACCTGTCGCTCTTCCTGAGAGCCTCACAATGTGAGCGTAGCGATGTGGAGGTAAACGCTGGCATGGCGCACGGCCTGGGATCATGGTGTACAGCTTGGTCTAATTGATAGACAATGTCCGAGTCATTTTAGACCACAAGCAGGGGCGCGATAATGGGGGGAAAGTCAGGACAATTCCAAAAGGTCTGGAACATAACTGGATTGGTCTGGGTTGGTGGTGCGATATGATGTGGTTTGATGGGGCCCAGAGTCTGTCTCTGGCAGAGACCCTCACCTTGGTCTCCTAACATTCCTTGTGCCCTGGACCTCCCTGGCAGTCCACCGATGCCTGTGGACGCTTTACTCAGAATAATGTTTTTAAATGTATTAAATTAAATATGATTACACAGGAAACCAGTTTTATTTAATACAGTTTTCAGTAACACTTTACCTAAAGCTGTCATCTACAATGCATTATAGATATCTTTATAATAATGCATTATAACGGTCGGTATAAGAATTAATAAAGCATCACAGCATCTTCTATTGACAGTCATAAGGCATTATAATGTTGATTATAATACTTTATAAGCTCCAATGAGGCTGTCATCTATTACGCACTATACATACCTTCATAATGCGCTATAATGGTCAGTATAAGAATTAAGAATCCTTTGTACTGCATTATGAAGGTATCTACAGTTAATCTATGTATCTATAAACAAATCTGTGATATTGTAATATATGTGCTTGCTTCTTAATGCATGTTGATATCTATTAGTGCCAAATTCAGAGGTTCGGCTAATACTAACTGTGGTTTCTCACCTGCATTCATAATTGAAAACAATGCTAAATGTCATTTAGAGATTAGTGAGAATAAAGGTCACTTTTTCCTGTCCAGGTTCACTGACCCACTGAAATCTCTGCAGATATTGATATTGAACTTGCTACTAATGAATTATTAACCTGCTCATCAATTAGTTAATTAGCGGCTAAATTTCACAGAGAGCACAAACATTAACTGGTTGCCATGGCAAAATGGTACCTAAAGCGTCCTTTATCCAGGATACTTTCTACACACTGAAAATGCAGCTTGAATGGTATGCCTTGTGTGTAGGTTTACCTTCAGGCTGTAACTGACATACCCAGAAATCAGTATTTTCTGTTTATGAGTAATTATGAACTCTTCTGTGATTTTAAGCCTGGGTTGTGAACACTGCCAAATTTCCCACATTGCTGCTGTAGGCTTCGCATCTGGCTGGATTAGTAATGAGTCCACTTTGACACGGACTCAGGAACAGTAAATCCTTGTGGTAGAAGTAGCCAACCGGTTAACAAGGGATGTTTTGAGATGCACTGAGAATATGGGGACACATTTCTGAGATAACGCTACGCAGGGAGGACTCAAGGACGATGTGTTCTTTCCTCTGGAAAAGTCTCTTGATCTTTTTCTCTTGGCTGGCTTTGATAAGGACTGCAGGATAAGGAGGTATTTGATAAGGAGTTTGGTTTATATGGAAAAATAAACAAATTCTGCCTTTTCACAAGACAGATATTGGTTCCTTGGTCTGAATGGATTTATCAGGACATTGGGACAGCAAAGCCAAGAAGCTAAGTTGAGGAATTTATAATTCCACACAGAGATTAGATCAGACCCCCAGTATTAATGCAAGACCCCACCCCCATACACCAAGATGCTATAGGAATAGGACAAAGGCATTTATCTAGAGTTAATAGGCAACATTTTTGAAAATTATAACTATTTATAGTGGGTTGTTAATGTGAACAGTCTACTACTGCAAATTCTGAATTGAATATATACAGCATGCAGATATGGCTAAAAATACAACGGCTAACATGCATGCTACTGTATATGATTTTAAATAACACCTTCCTGGGATTTTCACAAACTACAGTGTCCAGAACAAGGGTCTCCAACCAGAGCTACTATCCAGCAGGTTTTCTATGCTACCTGGCCTCCGATGAGCCACACCTGCTCCTGGTATTTACCTGAGATCTGGTGTGGCTCATCAGAAGCCGGGTAGGATAGAAAACCTGCTGGATAGTAGCTCTGCAGGACCGGAGTTGGAGACCCCTGGTCTAGAGTTTACAGAGAACGGCGCATTAAACCAAGACACCCAGTTATTCTGTGGTTTGAGGAGAATGGCCAGACGTGTTAAGGCTAAAAGGAAGGGTGCAAGCGTTAAATAAAATAACAGCTCAGTACAGCAGTGTTGCGCTGAATGGACTCTCTGAATGCACAACTCGTCAACCTTTAAAGTGGTTCTGCAGACAATAAGGGGTCTGACCCTGTACTATGTAGGGCTGCCTAATAAACTGGCCACTAAGTGTATGTAGAAGTACTTCCTGGGGAGCATTAAATTAGATTTATAATTTGATATCGCCAATAAACAAGCTCTGCCTAATTATGTTTGCATGATAAGTGCTGTTTTCTGTTTGCGCAGTTGAGTCATCGTGTTGATCTATAGCTGGTTCTCGTTCTGCTTTCCTTGTCTGGATCTACCATGAAGATACGATATAAGCAAACGTTTGGGATGGGGGTGTACACTAGTCACCAAAATTGTGGAAACACTGAGCATTTTTGGCATTGCGCTTTAACAATTGCTACACGAATATTGGTGGTAATGTTTATAGGCAATCAAAGAATGTTACAGATATCATACATTGGATGATTAAATAAGGACTGGTGCAACAGCTGAATAAAGTTCAGCAGTCTCTAAAAATTGGAAGTGTTTCCATAATTTTGGCCATAAAGTAGGAGGGGACTCACAGAGCATTTTGGTGATCTGCCTGTGGCGTGCCCTCTGCACACTGTAGTAATTGTCCTGGCCCAGACTGGACTTGGCCTCCAAAGACCTCAGCATCTTCTCCCGCTTTAGCTGGAGCCCGATGAGCAAGTACAGCACGCTGATGGTCAGCATGGGCAGCAGGAAGAAGACGACTGTTGTCACCTGGACGGTGAGGTTGTACATCCAGGTGGGCTTGACGAGGGTGCAGATGGCCGATTCGGGGAGGTCACGTTCCAGCACGGGACGCAGGGAGCTGACGCCGTGCAGGCTGGTGTTGGGGACAGCGCACAGCATGGAGATGGCCCATAGGGCGGCGATCACGCGCTTGGCGTGCGCCCGCGTCACCACGTGCTTGACGCGGAGGGGGTGGACCACCGCCACGTAGCGTTCCACGCTGAGCGCCGTCACGTTCAGGACGGAGGCAAAACACACCGTCTCGAAGAGGAACGTCTTGAAATAGCACCCCCACTGGCCGAGCAGGAAGGGGTAGTTGCTCCACATCTCATACAGCTCCAGGGGCATCCCTATGAGCAGCACTAGCAGGTCCGACACCGCCAGGCTGAACAGGTAGTAGTTGGTGGGCGTGTGCATGACCTTCTTGCCGGCGATGACGGCGCAGGTCAGTGCATTGCCCACTGCGCCCACCAGGAAAATCAGCAGGAAGGTGACACACACGGGCAGGAAGACGGGCGACCGCCGCGGGCCCAGGTGACGCCGCAGATACTCCTCCAGACTCACGCACGTGGCCGCCAGCTCCACGCTGACGTTCTCCGGGGCCAGGCCCGTGAGGTCGCAAGGCCCGCCCGCCTGACAGTTTGCGACCAATGAGGGGAGAGAGTCTGTAGAGGAACAGTTATACCCCTCTGTCATGGTTGAAAACAGCCAATTGAAAGAAAGGGTGGGCTGAAAATAACAAAGAAAGGAACAGGATCAGAGTTTAGCAAAGAAATAACAAGCTGTAGACATATTTGTTATTGGGGAAACTGGGGCTAATTGTTGACCCTTTTTTTTTTAATCATTTTTAGAAAATAAAAATGGCAGAGCAGAAAAAAAATCTGAAACACTTTACTGAAGGCATGGCTATAAATATTTATCAAAAGGCATAACACATTATAGCCATGTTTATTATGCATTATAATAGTCAGTATAAGCATTAAGGATGCTTTGTACTGCATTCTGAAGGTATTTATAGTGCATTATAAATGAGAGCTTCATAAGGCAGTCATAATGCATAATAAACATGGCTATAATCGGGCACAAATGCACATAAAATACGTACGTATTTGTGCTGTTACAACAATCGATTGTCGTATGTATCGCTTTTAAAGGTGAATGCATACTTGCATACCAGTTATGTCAATTCCTTGCTATAATGTATTATGCCTTTTTATAAACATTTACAGCCATGCCTATAATGCTTTATGAATGCATTATAATGCATTATGAATGTGTTCATAAATTACTAAAAATGTGGTATTAAGTAAAGCCGTACTAGTTCGCTAAACATGGTATTTTGGCGAGGTTATGCCGGAAGATTACTGTGTCTGGACTCTGTCACTACATTAAAACACATAAATGAAACAAAAGAACAGCTCTGGTGCCAGTGAAAACCTGACGTAGATTCGGAAGGGACTTGCTGGTGTGGCCATAGGGGAATAGGGGCCTCATTTGTAAAGCATTGGCTTGACACCTGTATAAAACAACTGGAACACAGTGCCCCCTTTGGAAAGGAGATTATGCAGCAGGGGTGATTCATGAGAGTGTGACAACGCTGGGTCTTCCCCTCTGCATTTACAACTGCACTTTATAACGTTTTTAATGGCTTAACATTTAAAAGGGTCAAACTGTCATTTTAATAACCTTCAGCATCAGTGATTTCTTTCTCAGTGACTCTTCTCCTTCCGTTTGCTTTTATCTGTGACATGTTAAGTGACAGAGCCCCCGTGATTCACGCGTCACATGACTAAGGAACCCCGAAAACTAGCGATGGCGTAACGAGGGCTGACCGTAGCCATTAGGGGCCCCTGTAGGGCTAACTCCCCTAGCCTCACCAGTGGCGGCCATGTTGAATGGAATAGAACCAGAAGGACGATGGTTTGAGTCCCAGAAGGGCCCAGCTATGGTCCCTCAGGCTAAGCACTTAATGGGATTTGCTCCAATAAAATACCCAGCTGTATAAATGGGTTAAATTCTAAGTGCTTTTGGGGAAAAGCGGTGAAATTGCATTAATAGTTGGTGAACGCTGTGCAGTGCTTGCTAGTGGTTTGCCCCAGTCAAGCCGAACAACGCCCACCCACAACATTAATAACCGTTTCCATTCCTAATACCGTTGTGTGATTGGTGCTGTCTGCGGTCAGGACGCACATCATCCGTGCAGGAAAGTGCTGCCGTGGTTTTTCCGCTCTGGCGTTTCCGTCTCACGAAACATGATGCCAGCAGCCCTGGAGAGGATGTACTGGGCCAGATGTCAGTGACGTCTGAGACCTACCCCATCCAATCGTATAGCCCCCCGCCTATGTGTCCCATGGGTATATACAAGGGCGGGGCCACTGCGGCATTGGCCCCAGCTGAAAACTGATTGGCCCCCAAACTACTCCCTCCCCTGTCAGTCACCAATTCAAACCATGTCATTGGCTAACTATAATGCTGGCCCCTCAATATGAATTATGGACCCTCTATGCCCCCACCTCCACCATGAAAAATCCTAGAATCACTTCAGGTACATCCCCCCCAGTATAAATGAGGGCTAAAATGATTGTCGTTGGAGGGGATGTTCGATCTGTTGATATGCTGACGTTTCCACATGGTATGTCGCATGAAGCAGGTTCCATGTGGTCAGGGAGTATGGAGGTCACCCTCACACTATGTCCAAATCAAACACATGACAATGGAGTCAGCTCTTTCTGGAAAAGTCATATATAAGCTAACGTTTTTTTTTTGGGGTCTTGTAAAAGCCTTTTTATAAATATAGATTTTAATCAAATCTCCTGTGTTCAGAAAAAAAGATGGTTTTAGTCTCTGGGTACATATTTCAGCCATTAACAGAATAACTTAGCCTGTGGGGATTTTACAATAAAGCAAGTGGAATAATATATAATTAATAATCTGTTTTGCTTAGACAAAATCGCACTGCCTGCCAATGGCCTGCTTTAGCGTTACGCATGCTGAGAGTCTGTTTTATGACGGTTATGCGTCACATGCGTTTTAATGCAACGTGTTTTTGCTTTCTGTCTTCGGTCTCGCCAGTGTCCGAAGCTTCCAGGTTAATTCCTGTCCTCTCATGCCAGACATAAACAGAATAATGGCTTCTGTGCGTACAGCAGTAAAAACAAAAACATGGAGCTGTCTGTTCTGAGGATATTTACAGTCCCCCAGCTGGGACACTGACTTTGTTCAGCCTTCATGTGCTCTATTACCACCTGCTCTTTCTTTGCTCAATAGCTTTTTGTTTGTTAGTTTGGGGATTCAGTACCTAGCGTGTTAGCATGTTAGCGTAGCTAATATACTGCAATTTCATGTAAGCCATTCGTATTAAGCATGCAGCTCAAGAGAATAGCAGGAGAATTAGGTCACATGTAGCTTAAAAGGTGAGTTTAAGGCTCCCTCCATCTATCCCCAAAGATATTATGCATCACAGAGTTGCCAAATGGGCTGTGGAACTTGTCCCAAGCAGCGCAGAGTGTTAGGGAGGGGACACTGTGGACGGGATGCCATCGTATCACAGGGGACCCTAACAACACATTATTGGCAGCTTAGTGAAGCCAATTCATCAAATGGCATGTTGTGGGACTATTGGGGAAGCATTGCAGTTATATGATGAAGAAGCAGTGATTGATTTGTGAGATATCACTGGATGTCAGTCCTTATACTTCACCTTGGCTTTCTCTAATATTCAGATACTGGCAGCTGGACATGAATGTGATGAATTCATAGTGTGGCCAAATGCCACGAGTATGGAGGAGCGTATCGATTTTCCCAACATGAGGAGACAGTGTTCGATAGCCACTGCATTTAGCTGCCTCTGTTTGCTAAGGATGCCGTGTCTCGTGAGACAGACCAGAGCAGCGACATCGAGGGTCGACGTCAAGGCATAAACACGGTAAGTGGCTGTAAGGCGACTAGCATGGAACCGAGAAGCTGAAGCACACGTGTGAGGAAAGTTTCCCAGTGAGGCAGGGAAAGTCTAGGGGAAGTGATTCCTCTAGCTGGTAGAAGAAGGTATCTCTGAATTCACATTCTAGAACTAAATAATGAGCTACATGTATAGAATGAACACTAAAGAATGGGACCTGAAGATTCATTGTCTTCTCACCTTATAAGGATACATGTGCACAAACATTTCTGTGCCATGCTGCGCATAGCAACCGTGGAATGTTTTTCTGAGGCTAGCATACAATCTGGCTTTAAGAAAAGACAAATCAAAAACAATACAACTAGGAAAAGCATCTACTCTCCATTTACACTTCTGACAATCAGTCATACATCCAACATACAAACAATAAAATATTTAGAATTAACAAACAATATATACACCTGTTTGTGTATATACATAATTCAGCCATGTAGATTATATATAAAAATACATACTGCGCCAGATCAGCTACCCTTAGCAGCGTCAACAGCAATTGCAAACAAATGCGTGTGGAATGTAAAGAATAAGAAATAAAGAATGAAAACTAAAGGCTTGTTTTTTTTTCCTCTGCTCACAAGGTGGCCATTAGTGTAACAAGTCAATATTGGTATAGTTTTCTCTTTCCAGTGAGGCAAAGGGAGTCATGGATGAGGTACCAGTGCATCACTGCACACACACACATTTAGTCAATTTGGTGTCCCTGATTCTTCTGGAACCACAGGGTCCTTTGGAACCAACGGCAGGAACCGACCCAAACATGGGGAGAACTTGCTCCTCACAACCCAAACGCACTGAGCCAGAAGCGACCTTTAACCTGGAAGCGTAAGTTCACTGCGGTACCCAGTGACCCACCACGATGCCCACTATGTAAACGCGCGACTGTAAGAGCCTGCAGCCTTTCCTCGGAAGCCGTGGCACTAGGCAGCGGGCACCAGCAGACTGCCCACACTGCACACACTGACGTGGTGCGGGCATTTTTACAAACGCCGATATTGATACTCTTTGGACTGTGGGAGGAAACCTATGGAAGCACAAGGGTGAAGTGAAAACACACAGCCAGGAGACGGGAATCAAACCCACAAATCTGCATGTGTCGCATATAAGGCCATAGTTTAACAACAACAACAACAACAACAATAATAATAATAATAAGCATCATCATTAATAATAATCACTATTATTATTTTTCTTATTATTATTGTAACATTCACTGTAATATTTCAGCTCTTATTTCATTCATATGAGCTATCATCCCAGAATTTCATTAAAATAGGATGCACTCTGTCCTGTGGGGTTTGTGAGATTTGTCTTGGTCAAGAGAGTTCTGCTTTTTAAAGCACTGCTTTAATCTGCCAGCCTGTGCACTGAAGGACTGAAGGCTAGTCCTGCCACACTGGCATTAAGAAAAGAGAAATGCTTTTGTTACGTGAACTTGTCCTGTCGCCAGGTGATGATGATTGCAGAGGTTTGGGCCACAGGATGCTCTTTGAGATTTGGTAACGCTTAATTGTGCGCGCCCCTCTGAAGTACGCCTCACTTGTGAGCATCCAAGCCGTCTACAACTGTAAACTCTGATTAATTCTAAGAAAATGAAAGTGTAGTATTTGTTAAAGAGTTACTGTTTGTCTGACGCAAAGTATTTGATATACATATGAACCATTTAAATCAAAATACCTACTGCATTTGCACTTTTCAATTATTTCACTGCACAAAGCACGCGGCAACTTCAGATGTTACCATTAATCACGATGAGTTGTGACGTCTGTCTCACAAATCATGCAGCAATTAGTTCTAAAAAAATACAGGTCTAAAATTTATATCTGAACATTTGGTTGAAATTCTTACCTCTCCAATGAGTATCCAAGGTGACTGTTTTTCCTTTTTTAATAAAGATGGTAGCAGAACCACGAAGTCACCTTCTAAAATGTGTCACCTCTCAACAGCCACCTTATCCATCATAAAATTCTAAGTTAGCCAGCTGTTGTTGACAGAGAAATATACCGTGTTTTCCTTACAGGTGTGTACCATTGCTCTATTCTCCCTCTGTCAACTCAGATGGCTTCTGATAGGCTGAGCTGAGTTTCGTTCTCTCTCTCTCTCTCTCTCTCTCTCTCTCTCGCACGCTCTCTCGCCCCTCTCTGCATCCATGTGAATGATGCTGTGATCACGGCCCACCCCCCTCTCAGGCCCATTTTGCACAAACACAGAACCCCAGCTTCGGCTGCCCTGCCTCTGTGCCAGCTTGGCTTGCCGTCAGCCCCCGACAGCACGTTCACATGCATGTCCTGCATGTTCATATGTGGCCTTTCTCTTCGTGTACAGCTGGTAGCGCTTCACTCAAACGAAAACGTAATCAGTGCTTAAGCACTGTACTAATGCAATCAGCATAGTCTAATGTCAATTAAAGTTGTGAAAATATTCATTCTCTTTTATTTCTGTTCAAAGTAATAAATATGCGTGATTTTGTGGACACAACGCAGTATTGAAATAAATGGAAATGCAATATTTTTAAACCCTCTAAAAGGGTTAACGAGATTTTTAAATGAACTTTTCCCCCTCACTTAATCTTATCCCCTGAGAGTGTTTTTGCATTACTCAAAAATATTTCTGTTATTTCGGTTTTTGAAAAAATCGATCAGTCCAGACACAAAGGCAATAATAATAATAATAATAATAATAATAATGATAATGGATGCCAAATGATATGGGCTAATTGTGTGGAATAGATATATGCAGTGAATACATGTGATTACATTACTCCAGATTATCCATCTATCTTCCATACCTGCTTGTCTAATTTATGGTTGTGGAAGTCTTTAGTCTGTCCTCCTGATTATGGGTGCAAGGCAAGGAATAACCCAGATCAGGGTGCTTGTTTCTGGGCTGTGGGGGTAAATCTGAGAACCTGAGAAAAACATGAGGACCACAAGCAAGGTACCCACCCCTGGTTCCAGAGAGGGGTGACAGCGATGCCAACCAATATATCCCGCCACACTTCCCCTTGCCCTCTTCGAAAAAGAATACCAATTTGTACCTTTGCTTGCCACCGGTGCTGTACTCTCAAGAGTCTGCCAATTGTACCCTTAGCTATAGGTAATTGTACCTTTTAACGTACAGAAATGGACTCATTTTTGTACCATTGATGGTACATTAATGCTGTTTGTATCTTTGGGATGTTCCTCAGAGTCCATTTCTGTACCTTAAAAGGTACAATTAGCTACAGCTATAGGGAACAATTGGCAGACCCTTGAGGGTACAGCCCCAGTGACCAGCAAAGGTACAAATTAATATCCCTTTTTCTGACAGTGCATATATTATATATTAATTTCTCAAAATGCAGTGTGAAAGATACAAAATCAAAAATGTAATCGGTTATGAAGTTACGATTCAAAGTTTTAATTGGAGAATACATAGTGCGAAAGGTATTTTAACATATTAATAATTCATTCATACTTCCATACGTCCATTTCCCCAGAATGGCTAAGGCACAGGAGATTTCTGGTGAGCCTGGTGTTTATCTCTGGAAACACTGAGCCTGATCATTATGCCGCCCAGGCCTGGATGCCTACTCTTCGCTAGACGCACACTCACACACGTTCATGAAGAGCAATTCGGAGGCACCAGAGTAGACGCAGACCCCACACATGTAAATCCGAGGGCCAGATCTTAACGTAAGAGTCATGTCAGCCTTCGGGAAATATTCAAGGACTAGTCAGGTCGGCTCAACCGCAAATATGCTATTGTTGATGTTCGACGTGATTCCTGAGGGTTAAGTGTTTGATGTTATTAGACAAAGCAAAACAAACCCATGACGATACATCGCTAAGTGACCAGCCACGACAGCTATTTATATATTTTGAAGTCACTTTATTGCTTTGGGCAAACCTGCGACAACAGCAAGATGATGAATTAAGATCGCAGCTCAGATCTGTCTTTGAAGCTGTGACCACAGTGTTCACAAAAAGACCCATGGGGCTGACAGAGGATTCAGCAGGAAGCATAGATCTTCTGTAGACCAGAGGAGCTCATTGGGTAAGCATGGCGAAAGGCCAGAAGCTGCCAAGCATCAATCTGTCAAGATTATCCTTTTAAAACGGGATGTTTATGCTCTACTGAGAAGTTGTAGCGGCAAGAGACCTGCAAAGTGACCCTACAGTCCGTGTTGAATATGAATGTGTCTATTCTAGACACTTTTGTTCTTCAGAGAAGTCTGAGATAAATGGCATTCAAAAAGGAAAGAACTGTTTTGAGCCATTAAATTGACTTCAATAGAAGATTTTGACTTTTGAATTGTGTGCTGTCACTCTATTGTATAATTATGGGACCTAGAAACTACTAGAGTGTCATTACTTTGGTTTCATTACATTTTCTGAGTCTGCATCTTAATCTGTGGTACCTAAAATCCTCTGTGACCCAGGATGTACAATGATCCAGTATCTGCTCTCAAAAATTACCTCCAAAACAACAAGGGCTTAAATGCAGATGGAGACATCCTGGTTATTACATAACACACTAGCTTTTGATTTGAAGAAATGGGCATGATAGACCAAGGAGATTAAGAAGTGGAAAGGCTAATTAGCTCCAGGGCATGTCTAAAGATCATTGATTTTTAGGATCACAGCCATCATAACATACTTTTACTCGCCCTTCTTCCAATCTCTTTTTGTGTCTTACTATAAATCTCTCAGCTCTATATATGTCCACTTAGTGGAAAGGTGGGAATCAGTTAATGCTCATGGTACAGTATGTGTACAGCAAAGCAGCTGAAATTTTCCCTTTACATCATGTTGATGAAATGCGTAGAAATAAAATAATTTTCTTTTATATAGACAGTGGGGATCCTTTCACTTTGAACTTTTGCAAAACCATTTATGTGCATGACTTGTGTGAGACATAGGCAGCCGCCTAGGGCAACATCTTCTAAGGGGGGTGCTGACTTAGCCGGTCAGTTTCACTTCGTGCTCAGGCATGCTCCTTGTGTTTAGGGCTTCGGGGGACACTGATGAAGCTTTTCCAAGCCTCCTTCTGGGCTTCAGCTGGCACTGCTGCAGATACAGGATTCTTCAGCCTGCTAGTCTTTTGGTAATGGGTGTATGGGAAGGTTTTGGCTAGTTACAGTAAACAATAAATGTTTGGAATGATTCAGTCTGGAAATAAAGTAGCTGTCTAGACCAAACCAGGAGCACTAGGACCTTTTGCTAAGACCAGCTTTGAAAAACACATTTAGTTCTTTTCTTCTGTACTTTTCAGAAAGTGATTTGAAGCCTTTTTACGCCTCATCCTGTTCTGGGAAAATCACGGGAAAAGCTCCTTTGCACTTGACTTTGTGAAGCCCAGAGAACAGTGAAGTAAAGATGTTTAAATTGCTTTTAATTTCCTGTGAATGAGACGGACACTCAATTAATCAGCATGTACTTATACTACCAAATTGAGTTCAGAACATTTTAATCACTGACAAAATCGCTCCCCTGAGCCTCAGATGAATTACTCGCAAAACATGGATATTAAATGACTGCTCTCTACTTTGCTCAGTGACTTTCCCGTACCTATGGGTCTGACTTTAATGTTAATGTGTCCTGATGACTGACATGCTAATTCTCAATACCGCAGCAGTCTGTGGCTTTCCGGGTTGATGCTTTTCAACCATCAATAGAGTTAAGGAACAATTTTCATATACTGTAGCTGTTGATCATTCAACATCGGTATATCAAGCACTTGGACATTAAACAGTAGAGAACCCAAATCTTGTTTAAAAGCATGTAATTCTGTTTTCTCTGCTCTTTCTATATCCCCCGTCTTCCTGAAATGTCTACCCCCTATAATGTGATGTTTGTATATGTATGGTGGGGTTGATGGCCAGTTTTTTGTTGGTACTTGTGATTAGTGACATGGTGTATTGCAACAGCAATAAAGGGTTTTCATAATCATCATCATCATCATCATCATCATTATCATCATTATCATCATCATCATCATCAAATGTCTTCCAAGACCACTTCACTGAGAAATAAAGGACCTGTCTATGAAAGCCTGAGTATCTCAGAGAAGAGAAAGTGAGCATTTTGAGCTGGAGCAACAGCAAACTCCTTATATTAGATATTTCATGGTTTCTGCATAAAATGATCACATTTACATTATCGACAGCCTTTGAATTGCCTAACTCACATAAAAACTTGGCTCCTCATGCACTGAAATCTTTACTGTGTAAAGCTGAAATTTTCTGTCTAAATTTGTGTTCTGCATGATCTCCCCAAGCAGTGCATACAGGCAGTGCCAGGGGTATGAATGTACAGACTGCCATACAGACTGCCATACAGACTGCCATAAATCCTATTATATTGAAAAGACAATGATTTGTAATAACGATCGCATGTTTCATTGGGTCATCGGCTTGAGGAACATGTATATGTATGTAGTTACTTTTAGTATTAATGTATAATATTATTATTATCTACTGTATCAAAATTTTTCTAACTGACCTACAATTTCAACTTAAAGATAGACTTAAGGAAGGGATCTTGTTCATAACTTGCACACTGTCTGTACTTCCTCTGGGCTCCTGGGTCCTACAGTGCATGATGTGCGCGCTGTCATAGACTCACATCCCATCCAAGGTGTTCCCTTGGTTTGTACCCTGTGCGGCTTGGAATAGGGTCCAGCCCCACCTCCTCCAGTGACCCAGTATTGGAAATGCAGTTGGATGAGGGATGAATCTATTGATTTATTCTCCAAAACAAGGAAAGCTCAATTCTGAAGTAAAAATGGAAATTTGCTGGCATGTTTCTCCTAGACAAGAACATTTGTACTGTACTTTGTTAGGATGGCCGAGTGGTTTAAGGCACTGGGTTTAAGAGTGTTGTCTTTCCTATTGTAGGGTTACGGGTCTCTGAATTGAGGCGTGGGTTCAATTCCTGCTCTGGATATGAACTTTTGCCTCCGTGGGTTCCTTCCTGTCATAAGAAGGTTATGGTTTGAAACCCATGCATGTTTACTGAGTATCCACATCTCCATTGCATTCTTGAACAAGGCCTTTAACTTGGCT